GCCCGCCAGCCGGGAGGACGCCTCGCCGCCCAGGCCACAGGCCACCCACGGCCTCGGCGCTCAGCGCTCAACCAGGAGGCCCAGCCTCAGGCTCCTGGCCACAGTTTCACACCAGCTGGGCCTCCTCACCCARAGAGGCCACCGCAGCCACCTCCTCAGATCCAGACGTCGGTTACCGACCTGAAGCTCAGTTCTTAGAGCAGAAAATAAGGACAGAATTACCTCCAAATCAGGACCAGGGTGAGTGGAGAGGGAGAGGCAAGAGGGGAGGAAAATCACATAAGCTCACTTCCTTAACGGCTGGAAAGAAATGCAAACCAAACTAAAACATGACAAGAAAGCAATCGGGGAAGGAAATCAAACAACACACTGTGGACATGCCAGACATGACATCCATTTTGAGTCCAGAGCTGACCAGCCTTTCTAGGAAAAAAATCAACACGGCTTATCCCCTACTTCCAGATCACAAAATTGGGACATACCACTGCAGAGGTAATTCCATTCTAGAAGGAACTTCTAGAGATCTCTACTAGATGAAAACTTACTGAAACTTTCACCATGGACAAGGGGGAATGAGGTGGAACAAACCCAGGAGCTGGTCACTTCCAGGAAGTGCTGGCCTAACAGAGCCCTGCATAGTCTCCATGGGAACTTGGGCAGAGATGGGAGGGGATGCCCATGATTTATTGCCAAGGTCAGTGAGGGGTTATTACATCCAGGAAAAACTACCAGTCCTTCCTTGCTAAGGGGAAATTTAGAAGAGGAAGATTAATGGAATTAACTATAAACCTTGTCTCTTAAATATCTGAGCCACAACTATTACTACTTCTCTCCTACTACTTGGAGTTCCCTTCACTCAGTTGTCAACATTGCAAATAATTTTGGCTTTCCTGTAGTGAGTGACTCAAACCTTCATATCTGAGCAGGATGAACCCATGGTAATATCATTTTGAGAATGTTATACATTATAGTAACAGTGGGGCAGTGGAGTACCAGACAATGTTCAAGTATATGACCTGGTTTTGGTACATGTTTAATAGTCTTCCCTGTGTCTACTACATAAAGGCAACCTTTCATCTTCCCCACTAATCAAGGCCAGTTGGTGCTGGTGGTATGACTCAACAGTTGGTCTGACATAGCTGTCGTCAGGATACTGTRGACTACTGTTTAACTTGCAGCTCAATGGGATCCTTGTCCTCTTGACCAGAGTGAACCACTTTTGAAAACCAGGAACTCCAAATCTGAGTCGAGGGCTTCAGGGGCAGGAAGTAAGTTTTCTAGTGGCTCATTTGAGAATGAGATTGTTTCAACCCCTTTGTTCCTACTTCAAATTTGTCCAATTGGATACCTTAGCATTATTTTGAGCATCATAACTAAATGCACATACTACAGCATCAAAGATGGTTCTAGCCTTTTTTGAAATGTTGTCTGAGCTGCTTTATGTGTTTAGAAAGTTAAACAGGCCAGCTGCTTCCAGTTGGTGAGATAATGAAATGCCATCAGTGAATTCCAACGTTGTAATCTCTACATGGCATTTTGTATAGGACGTCCTACTTTCTTTATACTACAGGCAAGGGTTCCAACTTGTCATAGATCAGATGTTCTTGAGGCCCCCAACAGGAGTGCTGGCCAAGGATCTGGACAATAAAGGCAAATTCACACCCTGAAAAAGTACATCTAACAAATATGAAGTACTGGCTCCAAGAGGCCCGCTGTAGTCAACTAGCCATCAAGCAGCCTCTTGGAAGAGTAATGTATCTGGGTTTCAGCATTGATGGGTTGGACGCTGAAATGTGGCAGCAGTAGCCAGTCAAGTTTGGCCAGTCAGCTACTAATTGGGCCCACACATGGTCTTCTTCAATGTCTTGCCACTCCATACAATAACCCATTATACCAGTCCTGAGGTGATCATTGAAGGCTTACTAGTGGCTCTATTAGTTGCACTACTTCAGCTACTTTGTTCCAGTACCTCTTCTGGAAGGTGGCTTCCTACAGATGATTCAGACCCAACTCCCATCTGCCCTATGCCCCTCTCCCAGACCTCCTAATCTAGTCTTGGAGACCCTGACCAGAGCAARAAGATGCCTCTGCCCAGAGACTTCAACTGATTCTTATCTTGGGTGCCTCATGGGAAATATACAAACAGGTATAGTAACCAAAATTCTTTCAAATTCTTCACTTTCCTGAATGCATCTGCCATTCTTCTTGGGCCAGGACTTGCCAACACTTCTGTACACAGTTCTGGCCTTTTCCTCCATCTGGCTGTGTAAGGAAGACTGGTGCAAATGTTAGATGACCTGAGTCATGGATACCTGCTCATGTAACTTACACCTGTTGCTCCTGTTTTTATCCTAGACAAATTAYTGCAGTCTTAAAAGACTACTGGACCCATCTGACTTTATGATGTGATGGGTAAGATGAACCCAATTCATAAATGGATAGTTCTAGATACATAATTGTTTGCTCCATGAACCAAATTCCAGGAGTTATTTCTCAACCTATGTAGTTCCATGAGCTCCATCCTTCATCTTTTCCCACCAGTAGTAACTCCAACACAAGTCTGCCAGTTATGAAGACATAAATATCACTACTAATAACAGCCTGGACCTGCTAAAATTTTTCTTGCTCTGGATCCATGCAAAATTTGAAGTCTGACTTCTGGCTTATGGGCCAAAGCAGAATTCTTACACGAATACTGTTACCAGGAGAATCAAAGGTTCACCAGGCCTTATTAACAGGCACAAGGTCTTTTTTCTTAGTGCAAACACCCTGGTATAACCTTTACCATTGGACCTATAAAATACTAAAGCAGTAGGTGCCTGAAAATTCTTAAGGTTTGCCTTGCACTACCCATAGCATGCTTCCCTGTGGCCTTCACTACACAAATCACCTCTTGCTGAACCCCTACCATCAACATACCATTGATAGATCACTGTTCTATGGACTAACCTATAGTACATGGCAGGATAGTTAAAATTTTCCTGAAACAAGTGGTAATTTTTCTGTCCCATAGAAAAATAGTTGTCGTCCCACTTGGGATGCTTTTATTTTACTATTTTGGTGGGGAGGGCCATTTCAGGCCAGAAATGTCATGAAAATGACAGTATAATAATTCTAACTAAATACTAGCTGRCAAGAGAAATGACCACTGGATGGGGGTGTAGAACAAGAATACAGCGAGTTCTCCAACACTATTCTACCTGTACTCTAGAGTCCTTACTTCAGTGGAACTATGCAGAAATACCATATTCATGATATCAATATCAACTCAAACTGTTCAACAATCTTTTTAATGTCTTGGTAATCATTTCACCCATAGTACAATGGCCTGGGTAAATGACCATGGGTAACTTTGGAGAACTAGAGTAATGACTATGGTATGATAGGCATGGCTTTTCAAGGTCCTTCTACTTAGTGATTCAGTTTAATCTTTAATGAGTTCTAGATACAAAAAGAACAGATTCAGAAAACAAGAGATTGGTCATGCCAATGAAGTTACATTCTTGCACCTTCTGATCTTCTCTTTTATTGTTATAAATGGTAAGCAGTCTTGCTGGCCGCCCATCTTTATGTYGTTCATTTCCCAGCTTAGTACTCCATTTACTAATTCCACAATCCTGGATTGAGCCTTCTTGATATTCCCTTTTGACCTTGCCAGTTCTTAACCCCAAGAAGTTATCCATGAACTTGACAGTGCCCAAAAGACAGCACTTATGACCCCATCATACTCCAGTTATCAATGTACCTATGTCTGACTGCCTCTGCTACCATGAGTTATAATTGGCAGAGAATTGCCAGTGAACTATTTAATGGTGTTGGTACCCATGTCCACAGATCATTCATGAAGGCAGTTGAGACTGTTATGACTTAATTCTCCAAAGCATCTTCTGTCTTTGCATAACATGTTATAATGTATGTTACAACATGCCCCTTCCATTTCTTCCTTATAGAACAACCTAAGCATTTTTGCTTTGCCAACCACTAGGTAGCTATTGCCACTTTTTTTTTTATACCCTAGCAGTGAGTTTGTTCCATTTCCTAGGATCCTTGCCAGGGTAATAAACCCCATGTCCCGAGAAAGTGCCTCCCAAAGTTCAACTAACTTTTTTACTTGGTCTTAACAATCTAGTCCCCTTGACTGATCCTCAAAATCCAATCCTAAGGATTCTTTTCTCTTGCCAGCATGCTCATGAATTCTAAAACTGATTCCATTATATGCTTACTGATCAGCCCTCCTTATCTCCTTAACCCTGCTTATCAGGCTGGCAGCCAGGAAGGAAGATGAAAGCAATAGCAACTACTGAAGAGGATACTTTTTGTCTCACTAAAGTGGGTTTGTGTGTGTGTGTGTGTGTGTGTGTGTGTGTGTGTGTGTGTGTTTGCTAAGGAAAGTCCAAAGCATTTGGACAGTTCCCCCCCTCCCCCGCTTCCCACAAGGCAGTCACTTCCTTCATTTCCCTTCATTGTCAATAACTTGCCAGGCCACATTCTCTCATGGGTGGTGTTGCCATACCTAGTAGGCATGCAGATCAGTCTTCCAGTACACTACAAATTTTATTAGAATAAGCAGTTTTAGCAGAATTCCAATTGCTAACACTAATTCAATCTTTTAGTTTGTAGGAYTTACTTTTTAAAAAACTGAATATAAAGTATATAATAACATAAGCCTCCTAGCTCGGTGTTTGTTGAAAACTTAAGTAACTTTTGTATGTGTCTCAGGTTTCCATATATAAAACATGAACAATAATACTTGATGTCAGGATACTTGGAAGAACTGCATTAGAAGTGCTAGAAAAACGTGCTTATTACTGGTGTCATTGTCATTGCTGGTTGTCTTTGTGGTTCAACTATCCTCTGATCCAGACAAATATCTTCTTAGTATTTGAGTTTACAACTCTAAAAGTTGGGCCTAATATCTGACTTCTTGAGTTTCACAAACGGGAAGTGGTCCTCCATATTTAAACAATGCCTCCATGAGTATGAGAGGAAAGAAGTAGCAATTATTTCATCTTAGCTCCTATCTTTAGGATTTGAAAAATCCTCTCTCGGATCTGCTTAGTCCGGACAGAATACACAATGGGATTGAGGATTGGGGGAATGAGGAGATAAAAGTTGGCCAGCAAGGTGTGGATTGGAGGAGGCACTTGGTGACCAAACCTGTGAATGAGGGAGGAGACGGCAATGGGAACGTAGAAGATCAGGATGGCACTAATGTGAGAACCACATGTCCCCAGGGTTTTAAGTCTGGCCTCAGGGGTGGCCAGCCCCATCACAGCCCTGAAAATCATCACATAGGAAGCAGCAATAGCCACAGAGTCCACAATCAATACCAGAAAACCAATGGTCAGTCCATAGACATTGTTGATTCTGCTGTCACCACATGCCAAGGTGACCACAGCCATGTGTTCACAGTAGGAGTGGGAGATGATATGAGTTTTGTAAAGAGGTAGCCGCAGACGGATCATCAAAGGTAGAGGTCCGATGTAAAGAACTCCTCGGAGGAGAGCAGCCAGCCCCAAACGACCCACCACTGAGTGGGTGAGCACTGTAGTGTGACGTAGTGGGTTGCAGATGGCTACATAGCGATCAAAAGCCATGGCAAGGAAGATGCCTGACTCAACAGTGGCAAAGCAGTGAATAAGGAACATCTGGCTCAAGCAGGCATCCAGGCCAATGTTGCCAGCACCAAACCAGAAGATTCCCAGAAGCTTGGGTATAGTAGAAGTGGACAGAACCAGGTCAATAATAGCCAGCATGCACAAGAAGAAGTACATGGGCTGATGCAGGCTACGTTCTACCCTTACCACGGCCAGGATGGTGATGTTCCCCACCACAGCCACCAGGTACATGGAGCCAAAGGGGATTGAGAGCCAAATTTGCAGGGACTCCAGACCTGGTATGCCCAGGAGCTGGAAGGAGCTAGGCACTGAGCAGACATTATGAAAGGTGAGCATGGCTATTCATAAACGAATCTTCTCATTTGTGCCCTAAAATGCAGCAGGACATTTTCCCCTGGAAGAAAAAGATGATAGTTTTCTTAGGTCATGTAGCAAAAAAAAAAAAAAACAACTAGATAAAACTCTAAACAGTAAGTTTAAGAAACCAAAGTATCCTACACTCACAAATGCCTTTTGCACTACAATGAATTTAACTCAAATACTTGAAATGCATATTTTGTAGCATGACCCTCAAGGAATGATCTTGTGTCAATAAGTTGACCTAAGTGAACAAATGGGTACATATTATCTTATCTCTGTAGGTATGCTCTGAGGGGGCTATTGGGATCTAATATGCTATAAAGTGACAGCTCCTTAAACACTGAAGCCGAGATACAGGTCAACATAGACTCCATGGTGAACTATACAGGGAAAAGTTTGTAGTCTTATATTAGTATTTTTATCCTTAACAAAACCATCTGTGCCTTGTATGTTAAAGGGACTGGAATGCAGATAAGGAGCACATAAGCTTTGTCTACATCTTAAGGCTAGAGAGTAATCCATCTAATTCCCAAGCCATACTGACAGCAGAATACTGAGTCTGACTTGGGAACTTTCCAAGGAACTGGCACCTTGGAAAACAGGATAATACACTCAAGTTCCCAGGGCATATTATCCTATTATAAAATACAACTAACCTCACTTCACAACAAACTTTAAAAGATGGGAGTTCATAACCCACTTGAATCTAATGTATGAAATATGATATGTCAAGAGCTTTGTAAYGTTTTGAACAACCAAAAAACTTTAAAAGCTGTGGCCCAGAGACATTGTCCTGAAGACTGCATGCAGTGTCTGTCATCTAAGCATCAGTTCTTCAGTTGGGGGTCAYATACAGAACCAAGACTCCTTAGTAAACACCAGAGAACTTTGAGCTGCATACCACCAAGGACCCCTCTTGATCCCTGATTGATACCTTCAGAAATTGACATTTATGGGATATATCAGATTCCCCTGTCCTCTTATTTCCAAGTAAGCCCAGAGAATGTGAGATACCAGCAGGAGGTAAAAGTACTGTAAGCCTGACTTCTAATTTATTTCCCAATTCCCTTCTCACCAGGCATGTTCGGCAGCATCTTCTACCAAAGGTGCCAGCTCCTGAAAAGTGACCTTCCCTGTGTTCTGGTAACTACACCTTCCCTTACCTGTTAGGGCTGGGTTAGGTAACACTGCTAGTCCTGGTGCTCCACCATCCTGTCAGTTTCCTCCATACCACCTGTCTCTGCAGATGGTCCTTTCAGTTGTCCCCATAACCCTGTCATGAGTTCTTATGGGTACAGACCAGATCCTAACAGTACACAATCTTTTATGCAGTATTGTCTCCCCAAGCAGGTTTCTGCCTTAGCAGGACACAGAATCTAAAGGTAGACAAGTCATAGAACTTTCTTAAAGAACCATATTCCTATGGAAATGAAAGGCTAGATAAAATTTCTCCACACTTACAGAAAGTCTCCCTTTATTATACATTCCTATTTTGCCTCTACTTCTAATCAAATAACTTTTGTAACTTCTGAACGTGTTGTTAGGCAAAGCTATAATGTGGAAAACAATAGAAAAGGGAGTCCCTAAATTAAAAAAAATGGGACTTGCCAAGTGAGTTCTTCTGTCCTCAACATTCCCTTAGACAGCTGTTACTAGTGTTAGTGAAATTGTTTTGGTATCTTCCAATGCCATTTGAGTCCTTTCACTACTGGCCTGTTGGGAGGCTTCCTTCTAGGTTTGGGTGGAACTATTGTGCAATAAGATCACAGACCCACGTCACAGATGAGGCAAAATGGGTACCTAATGAACTATAGACAATGAAGGGAAGGGAYTGTGAAATCCAGCAACCTCTCCATCTCAAACCATGTTATAGCTAAGCACAAGGAAAAGTTCTCAGTCCTCTAGAAAGGTAGACTCGATTTTCCTTTGTACCTAACACCCATCTGTTTTCCTCAAGGATATTCCACCTTCATTTCATATCTCTATCCATCTCTGAACACATCAAGAAACTGGAAAGGGCACCCGTTTTGGGAAAGATGCACCYCATCCTCTGAGGGTGGACTAAGCTGCTGATCTTTCCCTGAGCTCTAACACTGTCCTTATGCCTCCCCAGTCAGAAGCAGCCTTCATAACCTAAATATACTATGGGTCTGCAGCAGCTCCTGTGCACCAAGATTCACTGCAGGACACCCTCCCCCTGAGCTCCCTATCCACATACATTCACCAAAACCAAATGCAGTTCTTGCCATTCCTCACCCTTACTCCTTCCAACAAGACTGGGTGTTTCTTAACTATTTTCATTTAACAATTACCTAGGTTCTTTACTGGAATGTCACTATCTTCACCTGGAAAATTTTTGCACATCCACCTTGCCACAGATAATCTTATGGAAGCCTGATTTAACCCTTAGTATGGTACCTGCTTCTATATTAGTTCTGTGAATGGCCTGCTGATGTGCATGTTTCCCCAGATAGGTACTTATTTTCTGCCTTGCTTGCTTCAGTAAGCATAGTGCTTGGCTGTTGCATAATAAAATACCACGCCTCTTTCACACACCTGGAGAGGTTCCTATCTTATATGTTCACTAGTAAACTAGAAGCCTCTTCAAAATCTTTGGCTCTGTATAGACTCCTCCTGTTAAGTCCCTTTACAAGAGAATCCCTTCCCTCTGGGTCTTATATTTTATATAGAACATGAACACGATCTAAAGCTGGCTACCCAGGAATCCCAAGCCTATTCATCTTAAGTTAGGAGCCCTCCTGAAGACCCTGTTCCTTTTCTAGATTTCTCTTCATTGGATTCTTACCTGGGCTGGTCATGTCAGAAGAGCCTGAGTCTCTAAATGCCTCAGAGACCTTGCACTTATAAACATTCTGCTCAGGAGTTCAGGGAATTAATTCCATTTGAGAGAAGCTAAAGGATAGCTAAAGGRTAATAGCTGACCTTGTCTCAGAAGGATAAGCACAGAATCTGTGAGCACAGCTATCCCCAGCATGTCAAGATTGGTCCTGCGGGACTACATGGAAGGATAGACCTTGAGTTGTAATCTCTTGGGTCCAGATCCTGCTCTTGCTCCTCCCTGAAGTTGGCAATTATTCTGAGGACATCAAGTGGAACTTGGAAAGGGCTTTCTGGGATAGTCTTTTTTACTTGGATATGAGATTAGAGGTCAACCTGGTTATAAATGTTTTACTCCTTTCTTGACAGTGTAGTCCTGAATTAACACCAAGGCATCTCAATGGCAACACCCCCAAAAAAACTCCCTCCCGCTTGTATCACAAGAAAAGGACTCCATGAACTTACAAAGATGCACCTCTCCACCCACTTTCATGCAGCAACCATTCCCAAACACRCTTCTCAAAAGAGAAGCCAAACTGTCTCTCCTGCTGACATAAYGGAATGCTCATGGGTTGGTGGCATCTCGTACTCCCTGGATATGACAAGATGGTATTTAAGATGCCAAAGACTCAAGTCTGCAAAGCCCAGGCCAATTACACACTACCTGACTTCAAACTATTTCATCTTCAAGTGTAAAATGGAAACAATATTTACTTTGGGTAAATGTTGTGACTTAGATAGGGTAAATGTTGTGACTTAGNNATAGGGTAAATGTTGTGACTTAGATAGGGTAAATGTTGTGACTTAGATAGGGTAAATGTTGTGACTTAGATAGGGTAAATGTTGTGACTTAGATATTGTATAGACACAAACACGGATGTCTGAACAGCACATCACTGCCATCGTTTCTGCATCTGCAGAAAGGATGTATCTCTCAGGCTTATGAAAACTAACCCTTTCTCCAGATAAGGAGCAAGTATGATGGGGGAAGGTGCTCATGTACTAAAATCATTACAGGAAAGTTTCATATTCTCCATGTTTCTTTCAGAGGCTATTTCCATAGAAGACCCTCAGGAGAAACTGAAACTACTTCCCGACCCTAAACTCCACATTCTATGTAGAATTGCTCCTGCCAAAACATGCATGGTTCTTCTTCAGTTCCCTGCCTGCTTTATATGCTGTTCCTTTTGCCTAGTAATGAATTTGTATGGAACAACCTACTAGTTTTTCCTATCTAGATTCTAAGACTTGGTTCAGCATTTACCACCTCCGATGGATGAGCTCTGCCTTGCATAAACTTGGAGCTTGACTACAAGTTTTTGTGACTAGATGTTTTATGATTTAAATTGAGTGAATAATTGGTATAAGTTTCACCCCTTAATCTTCACATTATCCACTCTCAACATTTTTACTTGAGAGATGCTTTAATGCTGACCTGCATATCTGATGCATCTTTTCCCTGTGGGATCTTAAATCTATTAAATAACTCAGTGAATTGAGCCTTGGAAACGGACCCCAGTCAGAAACATTATCAGCATACACTTTAAAACTGTCCAGGAGAGGGCACCCAGTGGCAGACTAGGCTCCCAAACACACGAGAAAGGATTGTCTTCATCTTTCATCTGTATGATTTTTTTACCTCAGCTTTGGTTTTATGTAATCAACTGTCATACAATTTGACTTCCCAAATGTACATCAAAGGTAAAAATGTGTTGCTCAAGCCAACAATGATACTAACGGCAGTTCTTCCTAAGTTGAATATTAGACTTCTGGTTTTAACCATATCAGTGGGTTTAATGTTTATCTGAAATGTTTCTATGTAACTTGGGGGAGGGGGTTTAAGCTCCCTATCAGATGCTAATTTGGAATTTGAGAATAAACACCACTTTAGTGCATATAGCTGAAGACTAACTACCTAATCCATAAGTGAGATACTGATGGTAAGACAAGCCTAGAAGATAAATTCTGGTTCTACCATATAGGCACAGAATGTTAAGTTCTGGGCCAGACTTGACCAGCTGTTTCCCAGGAGAGAAGTTATATACAAAGAGACTGGATAGATGTCTATGCTACACTCAATTTCCACTACCAACACTTTCCAAATGTGTTCTTGTCAGTTATCTTTTCTACTCCTTCCA